TCCATCCACAATCCACCCACCATCCACCCATCTTCCCACCCACTCACCCATCCACAATCCACCCACCATCCACCCATCTTCCCACCCACTCACCCATCCACAATCCATCCACCATCCCCCATCTTCCCATCCATCCACCCCCATCACCCACCCATCCCCCCACCTGCCCTGACTCCTCATGTGATGCTGAGCAAGTAACTTGGTCTCTCTGGGTCTGTTTCCTCCTATAAATAGACATAGAGCCACGTTCCAGGGTTGACATCGGGATGAAGTAGAGTGACAGAGAACTTGGTGGCTGTGACAAGGACGAAGACCTTGGCCTTGGCCCTGGGATGGCGTCTCTGCTCCTGGCTTTTCACTCGCCACTTTCTTCTTTTTCTTCTCTTCTCGGCTCGGGAGGCCCGGGAGGCTCGGGAGGCTCGGGAGGCAATGCAGGGTAGAGATTCAGGAATCCAGAGTCAGACCAGCTGATTCTGGCTCCCAACCCTGACGGGCTGGCTGTGGGCCTTTGGTGGGTAACCTCCCCGAGCCTCAGTTTCCTCAATGCAAACTGTGGATAATAATTCACACGCACCCATATCCACACTCCTGGAATCAAAAGGTTTTGCAAAAAGAAAGATTTTTTTATTTTTTTCCATGTTTGGCAGAATCGCTTGGCGGCAGAACCAAACCTGAACTTGGACAAAGCTCCTTACAACTGTATTTCTACAACCAGGGGTGACCATTGGGTGATGGAGCTGAGAAATGCTGCAGTGTTTGATTAGAGAGTCGTCCTGCAGCTGGGTTGGAATGTTCTGTTATAGACACACCATGTCTGTGAAATCTAAGCAAGAATTCTGAAGTTGAAGATGCCTTTCCCCAAGGCATCGAGTACTGTGGGGTGCCCCAGGCCCTGGAGCTGGAGCAAGGAAGTGCAGAGGAAGATCTGGCCCGTGGGAGCCGCAGGCAACCCCAGCAAGGACAGTGCGGAGGAGGCTCTTGGTGCCCCTGAGTGGGACCTCAGGGTTCTCCCCTGCAAAAGGCACCTAGTGCTGGCAGCCAGCAACAGCCCAGGAGCAGCAGCTGCTGTGAGCAGAGCCACTGGCTCCACCAGGCACCACCTGGGGTTTACGTCCACCTCGTACTTCCTACCCACCCCATGAGGTTCATGCAGCCATTATCTCCATCTTACAGATGAGGAAACTGTGGCCGGAGGGGTTCAATGAATTGTGTAAGGTCACAAATTAGCAAAGGCCAGATGTCAAAGGCTGGCTTCTGTCCTAGCTGCCTTCTGTATTTTCATTATAACTGCTGTCAGGACAACAGAGAAGACAGTCGGGTGTTCTAAAAGGTTCCTGGGAACTGCTCTCAAGTCTTCTCTCATTTGGTTCAAGAAATACATCTGAGAAGGGTGCACAGTTGCTCTCGTCTGTCAGGACCCTGGAGAGCTGACGTGGGGCTCTCAGTTTCATGCAGCAAGAAAGTAGGGCAAGCTGCATCCACGCCAGGTCCACCCCTCCAGACCGACTGGCCCTCAGGGGAAGGTCTCCCCTGGGGCATGAGATCTACCCCTCCAGACCTACTCACCCTCGGGGAGTGGGGGGGAGGTGCCCTTGGCAGGGTCTCTGCTGGGGAGGGGGGAGCATTGGTGGCCGCTCCCTGGAGCTCTGAGTCCTCTGACAGAGACCTGGTGGTGGGCCTCCACCACCAACTGATCTTGCCCGCTGCTGCAACTGCTCAACTGACCAGCAGGCTGCCTGTGGCGTCCTTGCTGTATCCCTGGCCCCAAGGCTGAGACCTTACTCAGCCCTCTCTGGATTCTCAGCTGGCCTGGACCCCCATGCACCAGGGTCCAGTGATCTCGATTCTGTAGGGCCTCAAGCACTGAGTTTGCTTCTGAGAACCCAGTGCCCAGACTGGTGTCCCTAGGTGGGCCTGGTGTCTGTGCCCCTCCCCTTGGGCTCTCCCTGGCCCTGCACACACCTTGCTATCTATCTGGATCTGAACTGTCCCTGTAGATGTGCGGGTATGGTCCCACTGGGCACTGGGCAGTGGTGGGAACTTGAAGAGGGTGTGCTCTGGGGTCAGGAGGGCCTAGCCTCCTCCTCTTTCCCACCCCCTGGGCACGCGCTTGGAGCTGTGCTACAGCAGCTGCCCACCAGAGGATCACAGCCTCCAATGCTGAGCCACAGTAGAAGCTCTGCTCCTCATAAGTTGACCACTCAGGTATTGGAGAATCTCAGCTCATATCTAGACATGTCCCCAAGTGCTAAAACTCCCTCCCTGAAATGAACGCCCTGAACTGTCCCCTCCTGTCAGCAACACATATGCCTCACCCTCTCCAGGTCTCACCAGCTGTCCTCCCGTGCCTCTCCACTGAGCCACCCTCTCCTTCACACTCGCCCTCAGAGAGAACCTTCATCTCCTCCAAAACCATGAGCCAGAATAAACCCGTTTTCTCTATAGGCTGCTTGCCTCGGATACTTTGCTACAATAATGGGAACTGACTAACACAAGGATCTTCGGGAATGATGCCCAGCCTCGCTGTTCTGGTTCTTTTTTCCTAACATTTAATGAAGAGGAAGACGTTGACGGAGAAGGTTTGGCGTTTATCCCCATCCTCTGCTTAAGAACCGTGCATGAGCTGAGAGGCCTCTTGCTGTAGAGGCACTTTACATTGGGGAAAGATGTGCTCTTGTCCTTTAAAGCATCACATCTTGTCCTTGAGGTCCTCGCCCAGTGCTTCCCAGGAGCGAGGTGGGGCTGTGCTTGGTGGCATCCGGGGAAACAAGGACGGATGTTGTCAGAAATGTGGCTTTGCTGTGTCGCGTCTCTCTCCCCCCTCCATTCCGCACGTTGGTGTAGAAGCTCAGAGAAGAACTCGCCCCCCCCACTGCCCCCCCCCAGATGTTTCGGAGCCCCTGCGGCCAACCTGACGACCTCTTGGTTTCTAAAACAGGTGAATACTTGTGCAAAGTGCATGTCGGGGAGCAGAATCTCCTCAACACCTGTCGCCTTGGCCTGGGTGCACCCTGCAAAGTGCAGGGAACAGGTGCAACCTGCTGTGAGAACAGAGGAAAGCGTGGACTGCGTTCAGCACCGTGGGGCAGGTGTGGCCGAGGGAGCCAGCGCCAGCCACAGGTCGCTCTCCCTCGGAGGGGAGGGATGTGTCTGGCAGGAGGGTGCAGGTGGAGCTGGAGGGTGGGGAAAGGTTCTGTCAGGAGCTGGACCTGTCCTGGGCACTCTGGAAGAGCCTCCGTTGCCACGAGGGGACACACTGGCCACAGCCACAGATGGTACTGCGCTTTCCGTGTGGCCTGTCCTCCAAAGGCTCCTGCGTCAGAAGCTTGGCTCCTAGAGTGGCGGTCTCCTCCTGAAGCAGAGCCTCGTGGGAGCTGGTCCCGCCACGGGTGCTGCCGCAGAAGAATACAGCAGTGCTGCTGGGAGCCTGAGCTGGTTCTCACGAGATGGTTGTTACGTGCTCTGGCTTCCTGACCATGTGATCTCTCCCTCTTGCTTGGTACCCTACCATTGCAATTCCATCTGCCATCAGGCTCTCACCAGAGCTGAGCTGATATGGCACTACACCCTTGAACTCCCAGAACTGGGAGCCAAATCAATGTCTTTACTTTATAAAATACCCCACCTCAGGTGTTTTATTATAGTAATTGACAACAGACTAATACAACGAGTAAATCATAAAGAGAAAACTAAATCTGGGCAATCCTGGGCAGAGGTCTTAGGAAAATGGGTTCACACCACCAGACTGGACAGGACATGAATAGCCCTGAGCAGCAGTTCAGAGTGTGAGCTTGGAACTTTCCCTCCACCCTAGGTCTGTGACCTTGGGCAAGCCACACGCTGCAAGGCTGCTTCCTCTTTGTAAAGTGCTGATCATAATGGTACTTACCTCAGTGGCCTGTTACAATGTCTCAGGCACAGTGTGGCCAGGCCCTGCACCCAGCCAGCAGGGGACTGCGGGTGTCACTGTGGGGACCCTGAGTGGGAAATCCAGCTGTAACATGCGGGCTGGGCAGACATGGCCCTGGCACTCCAGTGCCCGTGTGGATAGCAGGGCAGAGGGGCAGGGCACCCCTCACCATGAGGCCTCTGCGAAGGGTCAGGATGGGCGGAGGCAGGGGCCGGAAATGGACAGTGTTCCATCCAGAGCCGCAGAAGAGTCTCAAATGAGATCGGACGATCCAGAAGAAACCGCTGAGGATGACGCCAATGGTAAGGGGGAGGGAAGAGGGCCACCTGGGGGACGTGTCCTTGGGGAGGAGGTGGCATTGTCAACCAAGAGGAAAGTTGTCATTAAAACAAAAATGTAGCCAAAGACCCAGTCCCCCCAAGCGGCTCGGCTTTCTGCTGAATGACGTCATTGGCATTAGCACCTCATTCACCAGACCCCACGGAGGACCTGGGAAGGGCGGCAGCCCTCCTCCGGGTAGGAGCCCAAAGAGTTTTACTTCTCCTTTCACATTTTTTACTTTATCTACTTTTCTTGTTGTTGTTGTTCAGAAAGCCCATTACAGGTTCTGCCCAACAAAGGGGCTCTTCGGGTCCCCGAGTTCTTGGACACAGCCAAGGCCAAAGAGAAGACCTTTGTCCCTGGGGTCGATCACGCTCTCCAGCTCGCCACAGAAAGGTCCCAGAGCCTGCAGCAGAGCAGTGACCTCCCCAAGTTCTCAGCGAAAAACCCCCAGTCTCCGCAGTTCTCTAAGACCACAGCCAAAACTGTGCTCCCCAAGCCGGGGAGCATTCCCAAGTCCTCTGCAGACCCTGCCCAGCCCAAGCCAGGCAGCACCCCCAAGCTCCTGGCGAAAGCCATGCAGCTCAAGCTCAGGAACCCCCCCAAGGCCCCCGCCAACATCACAGAGCCCCTGCAGGGCCACAGTCTGCAGGCCTCCGAGAAGGGCACCCAGCCCAAGAAGTGGGACTCCCCCAAGTCCCTAGACGAAGCCATCCATGCCAGAGCGGGGAAGGCCCCCAAGTCCTTCGGACCAGCCACCCAGTCCAGGTTGGGCATCATCTCCAAGACCTTAGGACAAGCCTTCCAGCCCAGGGTGGGCAGTGTCCCCAAGTCCTTAGAAGAAGCCACTGAGGCCACAGTGGGAATGGCCCCCAAGTCAATAGAGGAGACCTTCCAGCCCGTGTTGGGCAGTGTCCCTGCCTCTGTAGAGGAAGCCCTGCAGCCCGAGCCGGGTGATGTCCCCGAGCCCTCCGAGGAAGCCCTCCCGCCCAAAGACGACGACCTCCTGGAGCCCGAGGACAAGGCGCCGGAGCCCCTGGAGGAGGACTTGGTGAAAGTGATCTTGGACAAGGAGGACCTCCAGGAGGTGCTCACGACGGCCGGCGAGCGGCTGGTGGCCGTGGAATTCTCGGCCACCTGGTGCGGGCCTTGCAGGCATATCCGGCCGCTCTTCCACGCCCTGTCCCTGAGGCACAAGGACGTGCTGTTCCTGGAGGTGGACATTGACGCCTGCGAGGAGCTGGTGAAGGACTTGGAGGTCTTCTCCCTTCCAACCTTCCAGTTTTATAAGAAGGAGGAGAAGGTGGGCGAGTTCAGCGGGGCCCTGGTAGAGAAACTCGAGGCAGCCATCGCAGAATTAAAGTGACCATATATTTCGAGAACACTGTCAACAGCCGGCAGTTTACAGCTTGTGGTTTTGTTGTTGTTGTTGTTTGATTTACAAACCAAGTGTGACCAAAGTGGATGTGTGAATGGCACTGCTCTGACAGCATTGAAGCCGTGGTGAGCTTCTTGCTGAGGGGAGAGCTGGAGCAGAGATTCCGTGGGTGGACATCGAGAGCCCCAGTGCCCCCTCATTTTCAATCTCAGTTTTATTTCTCCATTTGCCTTTGAAAATTCTGCTCATTTTTTTGCAGCAACATTGGGAACTTAGGTAACTCCTTTGTAGGAGAATACGACTAAAAGATGAGTGGAAAGGTCTTTTCTTGTGGGGCTCACCTACCTTTGGGGATTCTGATAAAAGACTTTTGGAAATAAAGAGTTTGGAAGAGACGGGTGCCTTGGCTGGCCACACGTCTCATGCTGGGAGTGCCGAGGAGCTGCCTGCAGCTGAGGCTGTCCCCAGGTTTCAGGCCAGGGCTCCTTTACTAATCCATCCTTAAAGATCTGAGACAGAGCTCAAAAGTTGGGTTTTCTCAGAGTCTCACGTTCCCCTGCCCTTGGTGTCATTATGACATCAATGCCCTGGTGGCAAAGTTCCTGCCTTGTCTCCCTGGTTACTGGTTCCTGATTTCTAATCCCAGGTGTCTCCAATCCCAAAGGCCCAGGTCTGGACCTCAGGTGTTGGCTTGGTCCAGAGTGGCTGGTTATTTTTTGAACAGCTTCACTGAGGCACGATTGATGTACCAGGAACTGCTCACCCTGACCCTGGGCAGCTGGAGGAGTCTGGCCAAGTGCTCACACCTGCCACCCGCCCCCTCCAGAGTGGCCTCGGGTTCCTTTGCTTTTTGTTATTGTAACATGAACACCTGAGCCGATCTGCCCTCTGAACAAAGTCCTAGTGGCCGACCCCACACTGCTCACTCCAGGCAGGTGACCTTATCTTGTGTGACTGAGCTCTGTTCCCACTGAACAGTCACTCCCGTTTCCCCCTCACCCCACCCAGCAGCCACTGTTCTCTTTTATGCTGGTCCAAATGTTTTTAAAAATATGAATTTATGGCCAACACTTTAAAGACCAGGATTTCCTCTAAAATATAAATTTTTAGATTTGCTTGAAAAAATGCAAAGACCTGGCAATCAGAGGTTTGCTTTATGTGAACCAATCAATCCTGGGGGCTGAGGGGCAGCACACTCCTTGAAGGGGACATCTGTCACAGAGCTGTGGGCGACTTTGTTTATCCAGGTGGGTGGCAATCTCTGGGGAAGATTCTAGTGGTGCTGCCCATCGCCTGGCCGTGGGCCTCCCCTGGCCGTGGGCCTGCCCTGGCCACCTCAGAGATACCTCAGAGTTGGGCCTCCTTTGCTCCATTAACAGCGAACCAAATACCCTTTACACTTGGCCCTTGTTCCAAAAAAGATTTGGCATGATCTGCAAAAAGGGCTAATGATAAGGCCAGCGAACTAGTAAAAGGAAATTAGAAGCATTCAGTGAATACCACGTCCACTCTGAGGGCTGGTGTCAGGGCTCAGATGGAGGGACCGATTTTGTCCTGAGCTTCTTGACCAACAGGAGAGAAGATGGAAATCCAGCAGCACCCGGATGTCATTACCTGAACTGAACAAGCTTCAGGATGCGGAGGAGGAGCCCCGTTGTTCCTGAACTAACTCCCTGGGTGAAACGTCTCTCTGAGGCCTTAAGTGTGAGATGCTGAACCACAGATGCTGTGCTCGAGCAGATGCTGATGTTGGGCCCAGAAGAGTCTTCACACGGCCACTCGGGGCAGTGATCGTGGGGAGAAGCCAGCGCCAAGATGGAGAAGGTCTTCTCAGTGGGAAGAGTCCAGATTCCATGCAGTAGACGGACTTCTGGGGAGGGAGCTCCCTCTGACTTTACACTGTGACTTGCTCCTGCTTTCCCTCAGAGCAGACCAGCTCCTGGATTCTGCCAGCTTCGACACAGGGGCCCAGACATTCATGAGTTGGCCCCACCCATGCCACCAGAGCCCAGTCTGGCCACTGGTGAGCCCACACCTTTAAACTATGCAATCTGAAGGATCGGGGACCCCAAAATCTAACATTGGTGACATACACCAAGCAATGACTTTCTGGGACCCTAGATTCAAAGTCATTGTTATCAATATCTAGATTGCTAAATAATGTTATGGACAATGATATCAAAAATCCCCCAAATTTTGTGGTTGCCATTGAGAAGAGATTCAAGAGTATTGTTAACGTCAGGGGCTGGGGTTGGAGCTCACTGGCAGAGTGCTTATCTTGGATCCTCAGCGCCACATAAAAAAAATAAATAAGTTTAAAAAATTAAATAGAAAAAAAGAGTTGACAACCTCGGGTATTCGGTTGAAGCAATGGAAAGCCAACGAACACACTGGGAACTGGCCGTCTTCTCCTCAGCATCTCCTCCTCCAGTGTGGGTTCCTCAGTTTGGAATAGCACTGCCAAGGGGGTCCACACAAGGCCCTGGGGCAGGGCTGGGCCTGTGTCCTCTGGGATCTCACCACTAGTAGGACTCACAGATGTGCCCCCTTTGACTCCTGGTAGCAGAGCACGGTGGCCAGGGCAGACACAGAATTGCTTCTCAGTGATGAGCCGCCAGCTCCTGCAGAAACACCCTCCCCGCTGCTGCCCCAACTCCACAAGACTGCCTGGGTCCCTGCAGGGTCAGGACTCACGTTATTCCTGACATGAGCAAGGCTTGCTGCCCAGCGTGCGTAGAAGCCCAAACTATGGCTGCCCAGGCTTCTGCAAGAAGAAAGCTTTGTCAAAACTTCACCATCAAGGAGAGGGGGCCCTGCCCGGTCCGCCTGCAAGGAGATGGGGCCATGCCAGGTCCCCCTGCAAGGAGATGGGGCCATGCCAGGTCCCCCTTGCCAGGAGACACGCACATGCCTGGTCCCCCCTGGCAGTCAGCTGGGAGGAGGGTTCTTCGGGGCTGTTGAGAATTGGTGAGTCCATGATGTCTTGAGTCTTGATTGGATACAGGGGTGTTGTTCAGGTTTTTAGTATCCGAGTCCTATTATGATTTCATGGTCGGCATCCCTCGATCCTGATGGTCATCCCTGTTTCCCTGGTCCTAAATCCAAGGTTCCATCCGTCTTGACACCTTGTGGTTACTTTTACAGGACAGTGTGTTCTGTGAATATCTTCCACAGCCGATGGAAACGAGGACATCATTTAAACATGCCCAGTGCTGGGGGAAGGAACTGAACTCCATCTGATTTGGGTGGTTTGGGAGGGGACTCGCACCAGCCGGACTTCACGCTGGCATCTGTCAGAGGCCTCTGCCCCGGGGGGGGGGGTGGTGGTCTGGGAGACAGAGGTCTTGTTCCTTTGAAGATGACATTCTTGGGCACAGCTCTTGGAGAGAGGCTTCTGAGTTAGACAGGAGATACGTTCACAGCTGTGCCCTCCTGGGCGGTGTCGCCAGGGAACCTGCTGCTGTCCTCATGAGGAGGGTCCTGACTTCAGCCCCTACCCCGGGTTCCTCAGTGTGCACCCAGGGATAAGAACACGGCTGGTGGCCCGCTCATATCCCTCTGGATTCCAGTGCTGCCTCCCCAGGGTCCCATGGCGGCTCTGAGCTTCCTGTAGCAGGCAGAGGACCTCTGTGCTGGCTGGCCACGTCCAGAGGAGGGAGGGCACGGAGAGGAGGGCAAGACAAGGAAAAGTGAGTCCAGTGCTAAAGACAGATCCCTGCTTCACTGCAATTGAACCCAAGGCATAAAATGTCATGATGATTGGTCGTCTGTGTGTGTGGATGATTTTTCACTCTGATTTTGTTGTTTTTTTCGCTTATTTATTTAATTAAAAAAAAAAAAAAGAAAACTAATGGAGAGCTGTGGAGATTCAAGCTGGAGAGATCCTGCTGGGGAATAGATATGACCTAGAGGAGGCCTCGCTGGGGAGGACAGGAGCCAGGGCCTGGACCTGTGGACGGAGGGCCAGCACCTAGTCCTGGCCACACTCCAGCCCCAGGCCACACCTCCCAGGGCCACGTCAGGCAGGGTCTCTGTGTTTGTTGCCCTCAGACTATAAATGGTCTAGGAATGGAGGCCGAGTCAAAGGTGGCTCTCCTGCGTGGAGGTGGATTTTGTGTGACACAGGTGTCACTAAGTAGGTGGTTTACCATGCTTTGGTCACGCAGAAGCCCAGCTTGAACCTGCTTCAGAGAGAGAGTGGAATCGGAGAGCCTAAGGGGATGGCCAGCTTCAGTCGGACACAGGGACTCGGCAGCAGCCGGACTCAGATGTTTTCCACCTCTCATCTGCTGCTCCTGCTGACACTGACGCTAAGTGACGCTAATATGGTTTGTGAGTCAAAGGAGAATATGAAACATCCTGTTAGTTTGTTTGCTCTAATAGTATACCCTGAGGTGCTGGGGTGTGGTCCAGGAGTAGGTGCTGCACAGGTTAGGCCCTGGTTTGATCCCCAGCACCACAAACAAACAACAGCAACCGTAACCCCACTGCAGTGCCTGGAGCCTGTCAGACCGGCAAAGCCACAGGAGCGGAGGGATTTCTGTGGGTAGTGGGAGGAAGAGCAGCCATGCACACAAGCATATTGATCTCAGGAAATGGCATGTGGCCTCCCTGCATTAGACCAAGAGGCTGCACTAGTGATGCCCTCAGAATCACCTTCTCTCCACTTATAAGTCACAGTGGAAAACCAGACCCATTAACAGGCTGGGTATTTATCACATTCCTTTTAACACACCCTCTCATTATACTCTGATCCAATCTAACTTCCTTGAGTCTGTACGTGTGCAGCCTTAGAACTAAAGACTTGTGCCTTATTCAAATGATCAATTATCTTATGCTAACAAGTGACTTCCACTAAAAGGGGCACATGGCTTGTGAGTCAAAGGGGAATATGAAACGTCATATTAGTTTGTTTGCTCTAATAGAATACCTGACACTGGCTTCTTTGTAAAGAAAAGAGATTTATTTAGCTCACAGTTTGAGAGTCTGGGAGTGCAAAATCAGGGGCCACCACCTGTTCAGGTTCTGCTGTCACAGCATGAGAGAGGAGCAGGAAGAGAAACTGCCTCATGAAGAAGGGACCAAGCACGGGGTGACCTTGCTCCCCTGAGAAGTAACTCATCCTACGAGACCAGAATTCCATCCCCTCCTTGAGCCGCGTGCATATGACTCCTCCACCTTCCAGGACCGGGTTCTTCCATCTCAGCCCCACTGCACTGGACCACACTTCCAAGACCCAAACCAGCCCCAGTGCATAGCGAGCATCAGGGAAGAGCGGAGGCCACAGGGCCGCAGAGGCTGTGAACAGGGAGGACAGCGGTGGGTCCCCTCTAGCAATGCTTTTGAAACTTATTGTCTTGAAATAAGCCCCATTCACTTTAACAGCAGGGTTCCACGTAGGCCACTTCCTCCATGGTCAGCACTTCTGTCCTGTCAAGGCAGAAGTGGTTATTTCAACTCAGTTGTATTCTGCAAGCACTATAGTATACTGTAAGATTCTATTGTGATTTTTGGCAGATTTTTTTTTTTTTTTTTTTTGCTTCCCAGAACTTGTAAGGGAACTGTGACCCACTGCAGCCCACATTCTCTGGAGATGGAAATTAACTAAAAAACAAGGTGACCCCAAGGTGCAAACCCAGAGACAACCTGGCACTTGGCCCACGAGACCTTTCAACACTGTGGTAAGAAGTGCCTGCACAACGGTGGCAAATGTTTGGCTCTAGGCAGCGTGGTCAGTACCACCCAAGGCCGAGGCTCGAAGGGTTGGGAACTCGAGATTTTCAAATTCCAGAAAGGAGACATGAGGAATTATTTGAAAACTAAAATGTTGATCATAGAAATGGTAATGCAAAGAAGCTAAAGTTGGTCAGACAGACAGGGATTGGAATGGAGAAAGGGTAATTGTGAAAACTGAGAGAAAATGGAATCCTCCTGCTGTGCACTGGCTAGAAGTGTGGCACTTCTAGTGAGGGGCTGGGGCTGGGCTCAGCAGTAACACACTTGGCTGGCATGTGTGAGGCACTGGGATGGATTCTCAGCACCGCATGGAAATAAATAAAAATAAAGGTCTATCAACAACTAAAAAAATACTAAAACAAACAAACAAAAAGTCTTGCAAGTTGAGACCTTGGAGCCTGGACTCACTCATACAGTAAGATGGCAGTTTTGAGAGTGAGCTGCATGGGGAAGAACGGGGAAGAGTGGAGTTGGTCTTCTCTGTGAGGTCCTGTGATCTGGGTGCTTTCTCAGGAGACCCCTGAGTGAGGGACAGTGATCACTGGAGACACTCTGTCCTGGGAGAAGGAAGGGTGGGAAGCCAGCTGCTTCTGTCTCCTTTGCCCCAGGAATGCCTGAGATTGTTCCAGAGGCAAAGCTGGACTCGAGTCCAATGACTCAGAGGTCAGTATCTGTTACTGACTTCAGCAAGAAGGAGAAGGAAGTTGCCAGTGAGCTGACAATCCTTGTCTAGGGAGGGCAGGTGTGGCCGCCTCTCAGGGAAGGCCTCAGAAAGACTCTGTTGCTGCCGGCTGGCCTGTGGAGTAGCCAGCTGGACTGTGGAGTAGCGCCTTGCTACCAGAAGCCACTGAATCACTGGAGTTCATCAGGAATGGATTTCTATGATTCCCTCCCTGGGTTCCTAT